ATCCTACACACTTCATTGTGTTGCCAAGTTACGTTTACCGGTCCTATAAGATCAAGTAGGCCTATCGAACCGTAAGATCGTTTACGTGTCCAGGTCTAATATAAAAGAAACTGTAAAATTATATAAGGCTATGTATGAAAATATTGACAATAAAACATACCGTGTGTAAACCCTATCTAGGTAATAAGGAGAAATTTTAATTTGGTTAATCAGATGTTTCAAGTGCTAAATGAAATACTAATGGGGGCGACATCAACATTAAGACGTTTAGTTCAACGTACTCATGTAATGATTTATATTCTAAATAATCATCTGAGTCATTTTTGAAGTATGATTGATGTGGTTTGAAGCGGGGACTTAAGTTGGCTTAGCCCCGCGCACTCAGAAACATTCTAGCCGTGTGGTCGGCCTATGAACACGAACTTACTAAGCTTGATTATTACGAATTGGTTAATTTTATCACAAGTATCATCATATGCGATGTTCAATCAGGTAACGAGATATTATAGGCCTAATGCTCTAGTGGGGTGTGTGTGATGACAAAACATGGAATGAAATAGACACATTAGTGCGAATAAATAATGCGAGTGCTTAGGTCTATCATTAGTATTTTGATCTTCGTAGTACGAACAAATTCAGGTACGGTACTGCACAAGTCTGAAACAAGGGTTCAATCCATTTGACACTTGTACCAGCCTGCAGTGAAGTTTACCTTAAATATTATACACCCCCAATGCATATTCTTTAACTACAGAAAATGTTAGATTTCGACATTCCAAGTGCAATTCAGACAGATGTATGCCTACTGAGCATGAGCAGTAATATTTATAATATTTTGATATTCCATAATTTACATATTAGACCAGAGTTTAGCCCTGGACTACTTAGTTCAGGTTTCGAGAATACGAAAAAGATTTAAACAATGACTAACATTAGTATACTTAATATTTAGACCGTAGTCAGTGCTTAGATCAGTTCACACTACAAAGGAACGGAAATGAGCTGCTGTTCAAAAATCTTCTCTGACCTGATTCAAGGGTACTATAGCAATAGAACTTGACCTTGTATGAACCTTAACAGACCTCAAAACTTTCAGGGTATATTGTCATGGTAACAATACGCGATACCTCATGATAATTAGCCAAACACCTTTGTACACATCGACTACATGGCATGCGCACGACGTCATGAAAATACCTGCAATTTATGTTAATGGTTTTATTATGCAGGCAACGAAATAATGGTGAAGGTTTATCGTTTGAATTCCTGTTTATCAGATTTCTGAAATTATTTCAGTCGTAGCCACGGTGACGTCAGCGTTTTATGATTTATTGGTCGTAATCATACACTGGGTACCGTCGCTATGGATACTACCTCCATAAAGGTAAACAAGGTTGTGATTCTACGGTGTCATCGGCTGGTTAGGTAATATTGAGAATTATGGGATCAGTCTAGAAAATCAAACCTTGAATCTTCGCTTAACGCGTAGTATTCATTATCTTAACTAAAGTTAAAGTCAACAAATCATGTTGTTTATTTGAGAATTTTATAACAATACCATAAAGTCTGTTAAAAACGCGAGAAGAATTTCAGCTTTCTTATTGCAATATAAAATCTATCTTATCTACTTTAGGTCCATATAAAGTTTAAAGTTATTTATTTCCGCTTCAAGTTCTTAGTATACAAAACCTGCCGTGGCCGGTTTCTTAGTACAATCTCTTGAGTAGCAGTTTTTATGACATAAACACGGAAATTACAAAATGTACTTTCTGTTATACAATATTCATAGAGGAAACATAGTGGAGAACAGGCTAGCTTATAAGTACAGGACCTTGCACAAAGCGAAAAAAAAAAAAACGAATGCAGAACATTAAATGATAATACAGAACTAAAGTCTATCAACAGGTTATAGTTAAACGTTGAGAAATTTCATACAGTGTGAACAGAAGCTAAAGTCCATCACAAACTAGACTTTAGAACTCTGTTTAGAAACATTAAATCTGCTGTGCTGACGATCTCGGCGGCGGGCGGAGAACGCACACACCCGACGAGTCGCGCACAACAGATCGTTACTGACGATCCGCTCAATCTGCCATCGACAATCAACAATCGGCGTTGAGTCGCTCAAAGAAAGAACGGAGATAGATGCGTTGACCGACGCAGTGTGCCTTTGCTTACGATCTCTTCCGGGCCTTAGAGTTATCACATTTCATAAACGAGTTAAATTTGTTTATTATTGTCTTTTCATTGCAATCGCGCTGCGTTTGTCACTGTTGACAATGCGCTCTTACACATATTTATGAGAAACACAGCGTATCCTCAAACATAGAGGATTTTTTTTTTTAATGTTATACCTCTGTGCAGGCAGTCACTATTCACCTGTTACCTGTATAAATGCGATAGGCCTACTAAGTAAGCTTGACTTGTGTGGTATGCCTATAAAACATCGACGAAAACGTATGATAAATAATCCATTAGGTCTTTCGTGGAAGGTTTGATCTGGATGGGTCGGATGCTTCATACTTCTGCAATTCCCGAATGTAACGCTGGCACGTGTCCCAGCCTAAAATTGTGTTTATTTAAGTGTTTATTTTACATAAATTATCCAATCTTGGCAAAATACCGAGGATTTTCTCACGGTCAACCAAACCTCATAAAACTTCGACCATCCAAATTACTTCTAGTATTTCTTACACCATTGATGGGCCGCAACACACCGGTGCGTAACATGACGTGCAAGCACAGAGTAGTAAATCAGCAATAGGTAACCTAATACACAAAACAAAATGGAATATAAAAAAGTCGTATCTAGTTTGTTTTTACTTAGGCCTAGAGAGTGGGTATGGGATCAAAGAAGCAAACCTGGAATTCAGGAGTTTTCGCAAGCTTACATAAAACGATAACGAATAGCCTACGGTTACGTTTATCAAATTTTTTGACAACCCTTACAGCATATCTGTAACAACGTCGGCAATTCATGGCTTTTGCATGAATCAAGGATCATGTTCAGCTCGTACATCATATTGTCAAGGATGTTTTAGCCACGAATGACGATAATGATAATGACGTATTCGTTATCGTTATCGTTTTCGTAAGGTTGCGAAATCTCCCTACTATTTCATCCAAGAATAACCGAGAATATACCGTAAATAGAGATAGGCCTGCATACATTCATATTATAATAAGTGACCTCCAAGTAATCTTCCAACTATTAACGACCTCAGTAATTGTAATTTTATGCTCACGCATGAGTTGGAAAATTGATATATTTATATTAACTAGATGGTATCTGTATTATATTCCATAGGTCTAATCAGCGAGCCACAATAATAATACTAAATGCCAATTATATTTGTTGATTTCATTATAATCTCATTGCTAACGATGGAAGCCTATTACTTTATGTCTTAACATCCCAGTGGAATAAATTACAGGTATTTACTTTGGTCAGACAGCTTCTTTTTTTTTTTTTACTTCTAGGCCGTCTTTACTGATTGATGAGAGTGCGTCCGATTCACCTGCCTCGCCTCTGCAAAAGGAAACCAACCAGGCTGTTGTTTACCAAACATAAAACTCATATTAATATTTTATGTATTCCCGTGCGTATTCCATACAATAAGGCATCGTCTTTGCACACAATCACTCACTGTCAGCATACCTCTATGCTGTCAGAAGCTACAAGGTATTTTTCTCCGTCTCGAATGATCATTCCCCATACACAAACTATCAGATTACTTCGTAAGCATACAGACGACGCCACTTTTCTCCATTTTCCTTTCTTACATAAATCCAATTTTTATTTTAAGAGCGTAGATATAGAATGATGTACAAAAGATGTACTTTTAGATAATTTTATTAAGCCCTCTCTAGATTATCAAATTTCATTTGACAAAATCATGTGACATGCCTAAATATGGAGATGATGACATCACGTCATGACTATGCTGCACATGCGCATCATGACTATTGTGCGCATACAACAAATTGATAGTGTGGACAGGGTTTTATACAAGAAACCTTACAAGGCACTAGCACGATATCCGGGCTCGTTAAAGCTATCACCCCCACCCCCTCTCTTTCACCCCGAATCGTTATGTTCACTGACCATAATCCATCCCGTCACGTAGCTATCTCATGGTATAGCTAATGTCATATAAGTAAAATGGACCAAATCAATCAGTCTTGGGGGCTTCCCCAATGCTATGGTTCATTTTAGCCCCTGTCGTTGTGGAATGATGTAAACATAAGCACCCCTCTTCCACGGCTGCTACTGTAGTCACGGACCACTTGATTCAGGATTTGGCACAATGACGCTGCGAGTTATTGGTTATTCTCATATACATACTTTACCCTTACTTTGACCAACAATCGACACTGCCGTCTTGTTCACAGTGCCAACTTTATGTATAGTCAATGTGAGAGATATAGATGCCTAAATCAGTAGATATTTAAGTATTCTAGTAATTTATTCGGAAATTTGGAAAAAAGATTACCCTTCTTGTTGGTGGTGGAACAGGAAATGAATGTTTCAACATGTTTATGACAATGAATCTATTATCTTGTTTTATAGCAACGTAGAAACACATCGCTTAACTCTAAGCCTACTTTGAATGTTGAATTTTAAAAGTAATATGATTATGAAGAAGAGCCTGACAAAGGCCGTTTGGATGAGCACTGATAGCTTGAGCCACTATCTGCTCCGATTCTACTATGGACATCTTCTGTCCGCCCTCGTCCCGGGCCTCGTCCGCCTCAGTTATTCAGCAGCTCGGTTGATGATAGATTCCGTCTCCAGGAAGATATTAATGCCCTATGTGAGTGGTCTCGAAAATGGAACTTGCCATTTAATAGTGTAATAGTGAAACGTTGTTCACTATGGAAGAAATAATCCAAAATGTTCCTATTTTATGTTTGATATAGAAATCCAGGCAGTTGACAGTGTAAAGGATTTGGGAGTTACTTCTGATTCCAGTCTTAATTTTAGAATGCATGTTGCCGATATTTGTAAGAAAGCTAACATGGAATTGGGCATGATAAAACGGTCTTTTAGATTCCTGAAGAAAAAGGGTCTATTGAAACTGTATAAGTTTATTGTGAGACCAACTTTAGAATATTGCAGTGTAGCTAGCCTATAACCCAATTTACAAGAGAGAGGCAGATTCCTTGGAGAAAGTTCAACAACGAGCAACTAAGATGTTTTTGGAGCTAAGGGATTTTCCGTATGAAGACAGACTTAAATTTCTGAATCTTCCAACTCTAGCGTTCCGTAGACAGAGATCTGATAGTTTACAGCTTTTTAAAATTGTCCATGGAATTGATAGGGTTTCGGGTGTGATTTATTTTTTTGAGTTTGATAAAGGTGCTAGAACTAGAGGTCAATCCTCTAAGATTAAACATCAATTTTTCATTTAGGTCAGTCCGGCTGTGGAATTATTTATCGAATGAAGACGTTAACTCTAGCTCAACTAATTTATTTAAATCTGCAATCGAAGTACGTTGGGCTGACCATCCGCTCAAATTTGCGCCCTATGTTAAAATTTTAACTATTCTGGTTTATTTGTTTTTTTTTCGAGGGGCCTATAAGCATCGTTTTGCTTGGCCTCTATACCCAGGAGGATCGGATTATAGAAGACTGTCTTTGGAAACAAGTAAACAAGTAAGCTCAAGTGACCAGTCCTGAATCAAACCATGTTTTTAAGAACATGGTTATTTTTTATAGCACTGCCTTCGTTTCCCACATAACCTTTACTTAAATTTCTACCACACTTTTTTTTCGAAAGTACAATGTAAACAGGGAGGTATAGCTCCTTGATATAAACACATAGGTCAGCTCTATTTATTAAACATTCAAGCCAAAGAAACCCACACAAACAACCTTCCTCTTTTCAGTTTAAAAATAACACCTCCTCATAAACCATAAACTTTTTTTAGCCTGATGTAACGTGTATGCTCTTTTTTGTCTTGTGGTGTGTTTGAGACAAACCCATTAAGCTAATGTGCAAATAGACATTGAATGGATGTGACATTTCGAACAGTTTTATTATATGTTTAACCTTGTGATTACCCTCAGGGTGGCTTCTATCGGATCCGCGGAGGTGAGTAGAATTCACAAACGATGTTGAGGAGGTTATTATAAGATGAAGATCCTGAAGACACATCCAAAATTAGCTACTTTCGAGCCACTGGCGTAATTGATCCTCAACTAGGGATGAAAATCCCACCTAACGAGATCATTATCGGCTTACTGATATGCATAAAAATGAATAATTATTAGCGTGTATGAAATATCTTTCTCTGGAAATCTTCAGAGTTGCCGCGCATTTGAATACATTCGTATTATAGTCTGCCGATATTGCTTCTGTATAGAAGAGATTCTGATTGTTATGATGATTGGAAAATAGCTTATTATTGCGTCTTATACTCTATTTTATGTTGCACAAGACAGATGTTACCTTGCACTTAAGAACAGGGTACCTTGTACTAAAGAATAATATGGCAATATGATAGTGCAGTTTTATTTGAATAAGAAACCATTGTGTTTTAGACTCCTTGTAAGCCCACGAATGCAACCTTCTGTGTTCCCTGGGAAGGAGGGATACCTTGTCGTGCGGCCGTGCACAGCGCAAGAATGCCACCTTCTCTGCTCCCTATGGAGTATACCTAGTCGTAAGCCCGACACAAACGCACGAATGCAACATTCTGTTCCCTGGTTGTGCGGCCATACACAGCACACCAATGCAACCCTCTGTTCACGGGAAGTATATACTGTACTGTACATATTCGTGCACAGCGGTCACATACAACATTTCGATTTCTCTGCGGAGAAACGTGCGGCCGACACATCGCAAGAATGCAACATTCTGCGTTCTCTGGAGAGTATACCTAGTCGTGCGGCCGTACACAGTGCACGAAAGAAACCGTCTCTGCTTCCTTGGGAGTATACCGGTACCTAACCGTGCGGCCGTACACAGCGCACGAATGAAACCCTCTGTTCTCAAAGGAGTAGGGCCTACTGTATACCTAGTCGTGCCGCCGACACAGCGCACGAATGCAACTCTCTGTTCCCCGGGGAGTATACCTATAGTCGTACGGTACGGTACCCAGCGCACAAATGCAACTTCCTCTGTTACCTACCTAGTCGTGCGGCCATCCACAGCGTACAAAATGCAACCCTTTGTTTCCCGGGGAGTATGCTGTACCTAGTCGTGCGGCCGCACACATGCAACCTTTTGATTTCTCTGCGGAGATACCTGTAGACACATCGCACAAAAGCAACCTTCTGCGGTCTCTAGGGCGCATACCTAGTCGTGCGGCCGACACAGCGCACGAATAAAACCCTCTGTTCTCGAGCGATTATACCTGGTCGTGTCACCGATAAAGCGCACGAAAGAAAGCTTCTCTGATCAAAGGGGAGTATACCTAGTCGTGCGGCCGTACACAGCGCACGAATGCAACCTCTGCTCCCTACCCTGCGGCCATAGACAGCAAATGCAACCCTTTGTTCCCAGGGGAGTTGTGCCGTACACATCGCACGAATGCAACTTCTTCTCCCTACCCAGTGGTGCGGCCATAGACAGCGAATGCAACTCTCTGTTTCCTGGGGAATACACGTAGTCGTGCGGCCTGCTCCATTGGGGGTATATCTATTATAGTCGTGTGGCCGTACACAGCGCACGAAAGCAAGCTTCTCTGCTCCCAGGAGAGTATACCTAGTTATGCGGCCGTGCATAGCGCACGAATGCAACCTCTGCTCCCTACCCAGTTGTGCGGCCATAGAAAATGCACGAATGCAACCCTCTGTTCCCTGGGGAATACACGTAGTCGTGCGGCCTGCTCCATTGAGGGTATACCTTGTTGTGTGGCTGTACACATCGCACAACTGCAACCTTATCTGTTCCCTGGAGAGTGCACAGTGTACGAATGCTCTGCTCCGTGGGTATTATTTAGTAGTAAAAAGAATTGTAGGAACAAAAACATAAAAAAAGAAAAATCATCATTGAAATTTTAGGTATGACATAATTCGGTTTGTTCTACAATGTTGTCATGATTATTAAAACCAGAGCATGTATTTCTATTGACAACGCACTGAATGACGTACGGTAATTACCATGATGGTTTATGATACATTTGTATTAATAAAAACGTCCATTTCAAACATTCTAAGTACCATGATTTGTGAAATTAACAGTCTAAGGATGAACGAACTCATTAGAAGCAGCATCGGAGGCTTTAACAAAACATAAACTCTAATGTTTGAGAATGCACTTGTCTATTGATCCGCATCAATCGCCAGCGGCAAAGTCTATTCATCGAGCGGTACTTGTTTATTCTTCGTTGATGTCCCGTGTAAACCTCCATTGAGAGATGGTGATGGACGTGTTTGGTGTAAAATTATTTGTATATCAGAAAGTACAACAGGCCAACCTGGCAGCTATGAGGAGCAGTTGGGGCAGCGGTACGATTCGGGTTTTCCCAACCTTCAGATCGAGGGTTCGAGTCTTTCGCTGTGGCTTCTCTTGGGTCAACCACGCAACTAAAGTGGAGTACTGTCTCCACCCAGGAGTGGGTATGATAGATCAATACGCTAACGATCAGAATGCACAGATTCACTATTTTGGAATTATCCCCAGACAGGAGTATGTTGACTGTGGCCGAGTTGACTTGTGGCCGAGTTGGATCGAATTCATATATATATATATTATATATATATATATATATATTATATATATATATATATATATTTATATTTAACTGGGGCAGAGTCCTGTTTGGCTTGCTATAATAAAACTTACAGGCCTATCATTACAAGTCCTTACACGATTGCATGCGTGTCTAAAAGAAAAAACCTTATGAGTTTTCTTTTAAACAGGCACCCATTTCTCTTGTATCTTTGTAAATTTCACTTAAACATGCACTCAAGACACACGAGCACTGCCTGCAATATCGAGAGGCCTCAAAAAAGAAAAAAAAAATGCGACTTATGCTGATCTTGTGGACCTGGGCCTTATTTAAAGAAGGTTTGATGAATTGAGTTTATGGTGATACCTCATGTGTGTATGGTATTTTAGGGCTATAGCAGGATTGAACCCGGGGGACACGGAATAAACACGTGCACCTCAACCATAATTCCACAGCTACATTGTTTTTATATTGTGTGGCTAACTGAACTGACATTTTTCAGCGATAAGAGAGAATAGATGTTTACAGTAAATATGATTGAACCAGGGACACTGGGAATAAAGACCTACACCTCAGCCACAATGCACAGCACACAGCTACATTGTATTTATATTGTGTGGACAACCTGAACTGACATTCTTCAGCGACAAGAGAAAACAAATAGATGTTTATAATAAATAGGATTGAACCAGGGACACGGAGAATAAAGACTTGCACCTCAACCACAAATTCACAGCTAGGCCTACATTGTTTTTATTGTGTGGCGAACTGACATTCTTCAACGAAAACAGAAAATAGATGTTTACAGAAAATAGCAATCTTGAAATTGACAAAGATCGAGGCTAGGTCTAATTAGGGAGTTTTGATATGAATGCTACTGCAGCCTGTATTTGTCAGTTAACTGACAACTTCACCGAGGGGCATAATCTCGAACCTTGCCAGTGGGCCTAACTCACATACAAATATTTATAATGTGCCAAATAAAAAAAAAACCTACATAATGTCAGTAGCAACGCGGTACAATATTTAATCTTCAAATATGTCATATGTCTTCAAAAATTAATAAATGAAAAAATTCTAATAAAAAAATGTCTTTGAGAGCTTTTTTTGTATTAACTTCGATATAGCTTAGTGTGCAATACTTTTTAGCCTACTTTCTTTCTAGATGTTTTAATAATCTCAATGTTAAACAAAATATGTGTTCCTCAGCATTTGTTTTATGTCACAAAATATATTTTTTCATTGTAGGCCCTACTATTATTACATTTAATGTCTAATATTTTGTTGGTCTACTTTGTTAACTTCAATTTTCTTTACATAAATTGTAAGTAAATTTAATTTAACAATGTTAATTTTAGGCAGAGGCCAAAGTCACAAAACATACAAACGCCCTACATATACTCTCATTATGACTGTTATGGGTGGAGTTGTCACTTTTTTGGGACGGGGGGGGGGGGGGTCGACGATAAAGAAAAAATAGGCTGCTTGCCACACTGCAGTTCATTTTTTTGCTACTGTTAACTCATAACCCATCCCGCTTTCTGTGTTGGCAATGCACTTGAGTAACTCTACAAGTTTATTTGCGCTATATAATCCATCTATTATTATTAGGTCTATTACAAGTAACAGATTGTTGACTTTTAAGCTCTTTCTAGACAGGTCTTCTACGCATGACATCATAGTTCGTAACTTTAGCTTATGGCTCATCCCATCATTCCTCCAACAGGATTTATTCTCACAACTTACAGGATCATGTTGCCATAAAAACAAAAAAATTAAACCCAGGACCCTGGGATTAAAACACGAGGGTCTTCACCACCAAGCTACAATTCCCCTCAATAAATAATGGGCCCATGAAACAGATAAAGGGAAATATATATATTTTTTTCGAACAAAGGAAATAACGAGACAGGAAAGAGGAAGCATACAATAGGTCTATATATAACAACGAAATCGAAAAACATAAAAAAAAAAAAAAATTAGTTTCGCGTGTTTTAACACAGTTAAAAATGTGTATACAAGCGGATGTCTTAAACCACAAGCCGATAATTAAACAAAACGAAAACATTCCTTAAACCACTACTAGACCTCTATAAAAAATATAACTTTAATGTATTAAAAATAAGAGATGCTAATTATAGAATATAAGAGAGAACGTTGACATAAAGATAATTGTTTGAAAACAATATAAAAATTAATTTCGAAGTTACCATCTTCGACAAAATTAGAGCGGTGATTCTTTACAGGTTTCCACGACAGTCACCATGTCTGTACGCTTATTAGAAAACATTTTGGAAATTATAAGATCTTTAAAACTATGACGAAAAATTCATGAGCAATTGTGGAGCATGATGGGATTGTTCACTTAAGTCCTGAAAGCACTGGGAATGATTTTTTATAAAATTTCGACGTTAACGATCTGAAATTCAGGGTAAACGATATTTTTCCGATACACTGGGGTGTTGCTCACGTTGACAAATTCAGTGATCATTCAAAATAAGCCATACAACTTCAATTTTAATTTCTGCGATTATTTTTTAATTCCTCATGGTGTAATTCATCTTTAAAAAATATCATAAAATAATCATAATGTCCGTTACTTTGTCCTGCAACAACAGGAAACAAGATAACTAATTGATCCTGTGGGAAGAAATTCAGAAAGGGAAGATGTTCACTGAAAACGCGACGTCTAAATCTAAACTTAAAGTAATACAGATCGTAGCAAGCTCGTGTCCTTATAATTTTCATTTTTTTGACGAAGTTTTACCTTTGACCTTGATCTTGGTAGTTTGTGTGCTTGGTTCTCTTGTGTTGTCATTCTGTTGCTTCAGTTCTTGTAAGATAAAGGCATCGCATGTTTTTGCTGTAAATAATTAAGTGCAAATAATCGTCATTTCGCGTTTAAATTAAGTTACAAACGCGTCTCATAACTGAGCTGTAACTTTATTTTTACTAATTACGACCTATACGCGTCTGTAATAGCTGTAGAATATCTATTGGAAGAAAGATGGATATTGGGGAAAAACATGGGAAAAACAACCGATATCTATCTTTTTGCACAAATATTTTGTGCGATTTTGATAAGTAGCAATGACCCCGGAATCTTATATAATATAACAACTTTGTTAACAAAATTTGAATTTTAATAATATTTATGACTGCATCGATATTTTATGGGTGTTTGTATAATTAACGGCTGCAGTAAATGACAGACGGATATTAGTAACCTGACACTATATAAAAATTATTAATTAAATGGATACAGAAGAGCTTTGGACTGCTCCGTGGCGGTAATGAGGGTTAATGATGCATGCTAATTAGAAGATGGGTTGCACTGGGAGTATTGTAAATCAATCAAATATTTAATAACTCCTCTGTTGTTTAAGTAGTTTGGAACTTGGAGCGATACCTGATATCATAGTGATAACAGAGTTCATAATTATTATTACGGTCATTATTATAAAGGTCATTATTAGGATAGTATAACAGTATAGGCCTGTAGTTGTATATAGTAGTAGTAAATTAATAATTTCTCGTCTTGTTTATTATTATTACTAAATCAATATATAATATTAATCGCCTGCTTTCATTTTGAGTAGTAGTAGTGGTAGCGGTAGTACTAGTGCTCATAAGGAGGCGCAAACGAAAGACACTAGGCCTACTAGTACTATAGTAGGCCTACATGTAAATCCAAGCGATTAGGCCTGTTACCGGTACCCTTTTCGTTCGTGACCTTGACTATAAGATTATTCAGGGGCTTACTGAACATTGCACGTTATATAATAGTTCTATTTAAATTAACTACCATCGACAAGAAAAATATACCACAAAGAAATGGATAACAATAGCTCAGAAAGGGAATTATGCCTAACGACGGGGATGCAATTATCACAGAGGTACTATATAAGGCTATTACTGTAGTATTAAGAAGAATTTAAGAACGGTCGCATAGGCCTAATAATTACCGCAAGTAATTACAGATATTCAAATCAATTTGAAGAGAGCACATCAGAATAAAATATAACAAAACATACAAAGAAAGCACAGAACAGAACAGCAAACAAAGGGCTCATTCAGAAGCTCATGAGTAACAGTTTCAGGTAGTGAGTGGTTTTGATGTATAACCTTCAATGTTGTAAAGTAAACTAAACAGAATGAATTTTATTGTAAACTGTCGAAAACACAGTACACACAAACAAGTTTTATACTATCCTTATTGTGTTCTAAATTCGCTCATTCAATTGGGGAAATGTTTCGAAATGTTCCTCTTCATGCTTTACGATGCACTACAGTTACAAAATAGACTCAAAGAGTACTCAAAGATGTCCTAAGATGCACAGCAGATTGTGGCACACTGGTCAAAGCCTCTGAGTGATCTCACAAGATGTGTATAAGAGACAGCATGGGGATTGTGAAAACACTAAGAAAACAATGAAGCCAAAAGTTGGAATTAGCGTGTGTCTATTAGTTCGGTCTACTTAGCCCCAAAACAAGCGGGACACATGGATGACTAGATCTATACATAGGCCTAATACTTGTATTTTACTAACGGAGGAAATTGATGTTTTTGATGAAGTTCTTCTATCTGTTGGAATAAGCGAATTCGATAAGCTAAACCCCTAAACCCTGCGTTTGACTATTATGCAGTTAAAAAAACTGAAGAATCTTTTATGAATATTTCCCAGGCACTTTGAAAACATTGCACAGGTGTAATTGTCGTCACCCAACGGCGACCCACCTTCCGGAGCCATTGTTACTGGGACTGTTACAATCCTCGACGCTGAGCAATGTATTCAAAACGGAAGGTTCGGGTCGAGTTGCATTTGCTCGGGAGGCCTCCAAATATGTCGGTTTAAGTAAGAACTACCAATTCCGAGTACCCACGTCAGTACCGATAGATATATCCATGCACAGCAAAATAAAATTGGATGGGTTAAGAAACTTATTTAAACCATGGAGATATATTTCCTCCATGTTTAAACAGACCTCCTGGAAAAGGCTTCTTCCAACCCCTAATATTGCACTACTGGTATATTATAGGCCTAGTCAAATACAGCGGTGTTGTGAGAATGCAAAAAGAGCCTCTCAGAATTTGACAGAAGACTATTATAATAGATTTATATTTATTCAATTTTCCTCAGTGGTACCTCACAAGGCAGAGTCTTATTTTATGAGGTATTCTATTCCATACTTTCTATAAAAAAATAATAGTTTTCCCCGGAAAGTTAATTAGGCCAATCAAAACAACTCAAAGCTCGCGTGACATAAACACCTTCAACAACAAAATAAAATTTTCCAAAGGCACACAAACTTTCTGTTGTTTATAACGACCTTCAGAAAAATCTTATCGCATCATTTGTGATTTTTGGAACCACCAAACCAAAGAAAACAAAACAAAACAAAAACCAATCAAATTGGCGTCGATTTTTTTTGTATGGTTTAACCATTATATATATTCGGCAAGCATATTAGTATAAGCAGAAGTGAATTAATAGTTCAAAAGCATATTCTTCAAAGAGTGAATAGGTAAACATTTACCGTGTTTGGTATTAAGTGGGTAGATACTTGAAGTCTCGTGGGTCTGCACTAGGTCAACAACATGTAGGCCTATAACTAAATGGACAACCGTCATACTCTACAAATTAGTCGTGAATACTCTGGGGACATGGAACAAGCTGGGTAATGAACATTAATTTAGTCCCACCATGGTCCCACAAAGATTATCTGACAATGCTCGTCAACAAGAGATCTTATCTGGAGAGACCACATAGAAGTTTGCAATTAAATTTCTTTAATCTTGGCTTTTAGTTAATTAATGTAATTGATAAGTCAGTTCACCAATTTAAAATGGATGAATACTATTGTTGGTTTGTTATTAATTTACCAGCTGGATGGTGTGGACAAAATTATTAGAACGTAAAGTGATACCGAGTTGGTATTAAAATTAAATGGGGCCTGTAATAGATGCATCCGCTACATCAGGACGTGAGTGTGTTAATTGCATGAAGGTGGTGCACCAGGATTTTCTATTTGGACGTCTCACAAGATAGGTTACGTGTCTTATAGTCTAAACCTCAAAAGATCATTTTATATGCCTCATAAGTTGCCCTAAGATGAACAGAGCTGGCACAGTGGCCAAAGCCTCACTGACCTTAAAGAGTCCTCTTCATGCTTTACGATGCACTACAGTTACAAAATAGACTCAAAGAGTACTCAAAGATGTCCTAAGATGCACAGCAGATTGTGGCACACTGGTCAAAGCCTCTGAGTGATCTCACATGGATCTAGAGGCCTTATTACAAGATGTCTGTCAATTGGTACTGTAGTCAACTAAGGATCACACAGAGGTCTCACAAAATATCTTAAGATGTACACAGTGGCCCACTGGTCAAAGCCTAAGAGTGACCTCACATGGATCTGGAGGCCTTACAAGATGTCTGCCAACATTGGCACAGTGGTCAATCAGGGATCTCACAGACGTCAAACAAAAGTCTTAGGATGCACAACAATGGCACACTCGTCAAAGCCTCAGAGTGACCTCACATGGATCTCAGAGGCCTCACGAGATGTCTCAGTCAACAGTGGCACTGTGGTCAATCACAGGGACGATTATCTCACAGAGGCCTCACAAATGTCTCAATATGCAGAGGTAGAGTACCGTAACTAAACACATGAACACGATAGAACATGTACCGACTTAATGCTCCCAGGCTACATTATGCTTAAGCAACTACAGTTGTTTTGGTGACCTACTACTGTGTCATTATATATCATTCGGCTCACCAATAAATGTTACGCATTTTGCAGTAATCAGCACGAGAATTTATTTAGGCCTAAACCATATTACGGCACTGGTACCTGATAAGGTTAAGCATCCTCGGACTACTGCAGGAATATACCGGATATTTCTTTGTTTTTATGATCAATAGATTATATTTGTAACAGTCTAATATTAATTAATTCACCGTTATTATAATCTTAGTGAAACTATGTGTTTATTCAACCGCTAGTTTATTGATTTTCTCATACTCTCATGAGATCGCCACCAGCTCTTATGACACTGGTATTGCAATTAATCTATAAAATTTGTAAGAATCCAAAGAGGCACAATTAAATATATATTAAGGCCTATCACCTCTTGAAGGCCTGAGCAAAAACGCATATGGAACTATCACCTTGATCAAGAGAGAAATACAAGGAAAATACCACTCTTCGATCAAAATCATAATTCATATGCGGTATGCCTAATTAATGGATAGCCCAACTACTGGGTGACAAAGAGCAATCATTTAGTGGGACTATGGACTATACCACACCGACCAACCCTTATACCAAATAAGGTGACTGCACTGTGAATTATTATATTATTTGTAAAAAACAATATTTTTCTCCCGACTAAATAACTACTTCCCAATCATTCTGGTTTATGGGCTTGGGATGATCCAAAATTACATCAGCTGTTGTTGAAGGATCGGCCTCGTTAAAGTTAACGGGGCGCAGCCGCTTAAACAAGAATATTCCAATACCAAAGTTAAATACAAAAGCTCGCTTATTATTTCGGCTTACATCATTTCCTCGTTTAAACAAATATCAGTCGCCACAAAATTAGAGCATCCTAAACAAGGACTAACTAAAATAATAAGCCAGTTCCTTGTTGTAAATGCATGCGAAGGCAGGAATAGCCTTGACTCGGCGTCCCAATTTAGGGGTTTCAGCAAAGCCTAATGCTGTATTTTCCGTTTTCTTTTGTAACGAAGCAGCTGATCAAAAAGCTTTATTAAGGTAACAAACAGTTGCTTACGGTAACTGTAACAGAGGACATCCAGGGATAGAATTTACTACAATAAAACCTATAATATATAG